AACACCTCCAATGACACACTACACCCCTCCATCTCGATGATGTCACTATTCTATATTTAGATTATGATGTTATCATTTTTGATGACGTCAACCTCTGGGGTATTGTGACGTCACTGTGTCCCAGTGTCCCTGTTGCAGAACTGTCTGTTGTACTACTTTTGTTTCAGAAGCCGGATTGAAATTTCAGCCCGGCTAACCAGGCTGAAATTTCAGCCCTGGCTGAAATTCGCCATGTATCTGGGGCCTGCTTCTCGAAAGCCCCGGAAACTATTCGGGCCCGTAAAGCCAGTTTTAGTTAATCTGTATCTAAATACGGAGAAGTGTATACGCCTGAAACTTCTTGTATAAAGGGAACCTCTCTCCATATTAAGAATTGTCATCTAGCCTGCTTCGCGCGGTAGGTTACGTCTGCGAACGCAGGAAAGATATATAGACAACAATCAAATTCTGCGCTGTAATTGGCTACCCGAGCGGGCAAGATGAGCTATCTTGCCCGCTCGGAACTACCCACCGTGTCCCGCAAGAAAAATTTCCCCGAAAGTCATACAATAAGACGGCTGGATATTGGCCTCGTTCTTTTTTGCGTGTTTATGGACCTCGACTCCGTCTCGGTTCATAAACACGAAAAAAAAGAACTTAATTGGCCAATATCCAGCCATCTTGACCTCACACTTGGTCAATAACCCATACATATCCGGGGTTTTGGAGAACGTGGACGGATTACGACAGGGAAGTTTTAATGTCACCATTAGCTGCTATTTAAAGATACAAAATAAAGGTATCCATGAATTTGGGAGATTCCCAAACACAATATTAAGTCATTTTCTTTTTAAACAAGGCAACTAAACTTTGGGGTCAGGTCAAATTGCTAAGTTGTCATAACATATGCATGATTTGCACAGCTTTTCACTGATATTTGTCCAGAGACGAAAGAACAATAACAACTGGTTAGTTCACCTTCATTGCATAAGCATCCCCATAAGCAAACATTGTGTTTTTGAGTTTGAAATTTAATTTAGTGAATAGCTCGGCTTTCAAATTGCAATCATTACATCGTGACAAAGCTATCAGTGTGATTGAGCCATTAGATGGGCACAGAAGCATATCACCGTCTGATAGGCAACAATATGGAGGGGGAATTGGGACAAAAATGCCATTGAATCACATTTCATGCCATTGGATCATCGATACTATGTCATTGGATCAAACATCGTTCTATCCGACAATATTTTTCATGTCATTGGATCGTATGTCATTCTATCGGACCATATTTTTCATGTCATTGGATCGTATGTCATTCTATCGGACCATATTTTTCATGTCATTGGATCGGACTT